CTCTCTTCCTGAGAATAGGACCCATAGCGCATGACATGAAAGGCTGGTGTGCACGTGATCACAAATGCTGCATGCAAGCCCAAATGCACATCGAGTCTGGGAGCTCCAGTATACCACTGTGGCCCTGAGTGTACTTGCCCAAGCATGTGGGGACAGGTGTAGCAAGGAGACACTGGCCCAGCCTCAGCCCCTCAATGGCAGGGAGTTCTGCCTCCAGCCTTAACACTGCCCAGAACCCCTTTCCTTTGGCCCAGGAGTCTGGGACCTCGGTCTTTTTACCTGTGCCCTTGGGCTAGTCCAGGGGTGGTGGTTATAGGACCCACTGCACAAGCAGCACCAGATTAGAGAACACAGGTCAAAATCAACCCTAGCGGTCTGTGACTTCAATGAGAGGTCAGAATGGTCTCCACAGCTCTGACTAAAGTTCCCATTAGTCAGAGGTTCCCAAGTCCAGGTTGGGAGCCATCCTCGGAGCCCGGGTTTCATAGATGAGGTAACGAGGGCATCTGCACTGTGTCAGAGCCTGAGCCAGGAAGCAGAAATACTATTACAACTCTTGGACCCTGACCCTTGCAGTGGTACCTTATTTGGTAGTTGGAGTCAGGTGGAAGCCTATTGGCAATCACAAGAGGGTGGTGGGATGCTTCATTTAGGGACTGGATACTAGCCCTTCTTCCTGCCCATGTGACCCCAGGATCCTCTGGTTGCTCTGTATTTCCCATGCTTATACAGAAGAGTCCAGGCACTCCTAAAGACAAGTGCCTGCTCCACCTAGCAGTGCCATAGGCCTCACCTTACCTTCCCAGGGCCTTGGCACTGATGGTGAGGTTCTCAGTGCCTTTAAGTATAGCCAAGGTATCCAGCAGGAATTGCAAAATCTCCTGTTCCTCTGGGGTCAGTGCTTCTAGCCTTTTGTCCTGATAGAGAGAAGGGAAAAATGGGGTCCCAAGGGCCAGGGTCTCATGGGGTGCAGTCAGGAAGCCCCACCTTGGTTATCCCAGTCCCCAACTGTGGGTAAGTCCCATCTCTGGCCCTGTCCATGGTTGAAGATTGATTGTTCACTCTCAGGACCGATTTAACCAGTTGTCTTTTACAGCTTCTTCAAAGCCAGCAGTGTTGGCCTCCTGTGTGCAGATGAGCTGTAGGGTCCAGCCCTACAGGGTTCTGTGAACCCTTCCGTGCTGGTGCGGAGATGAGAAATTGTAGAAATAAAAGACACAAGACACAGAGATAGAGAAAAGAGAGTTTAGGCCCGGGGGTCCACCCTTTGGTTAGCAGTCCAGCAGTGGCCCCCAGTGTCTGCACACTCTGACTTTTATTGAGTTGCAAATCTGGGGGCAGGGTAAATAGGGCATGGCAGTGATAGGGTCAAGTATATCATGTGTCATGCAGGTAGGGGTCAGGAATTTTCAGCAGCTGAGATGAGGTAAGGGGCATAATGCGTCAGCACTTTTTCCATACTTGTCACAAAGACATTAAGAGTTACATTACTTTTACTGATTAATT